AAAAAAAAAAAAAAACAAAGTCACAGTCTAGGGGTGTGGCTCAGTGGTACAGCGCTTGCCCAGCATGCATAGAGCCTTAGGTTTGGTCCCCAGTATGGATAGAAAAGAAAAAATATTTCTCGTAGGCTGATCTTATCAAGATCATTATACCTGACCAAGATAGCAAGTAGGACGCAAAGTCTTAAGCTCATAATTAACCTTATGTAAAAGTTGGTGGCGAAAATAAACTTTAATGAACAGCTCTGTGAGTTCTGTGAGTACATACACGTGACCTGTAGGTTTGGTGCGGCCAAAGGCTCAAGGGAAATAAACCAGCAGATATTCCTAAGGTTTTAAGCTTCACTCATCAAAGTCTATAAATAGGACTGTTGTTGAGATCGCCTGAAGATATCACCCAGTGTGCTGTTTAACTTTAAAAAGCAACATGATACTGTATGTTCATAGATGTTCCAAATGCAATTCAGCCCCAAAATGGTGGTTAGCGGGTTGTTTTCACTTTGTCATAAGCAACTGCTGTTTTCCTAAGCAAATCATGCCAGTCAGAGTTAAAGAAAACATTGAATTCTGGAAAGCAGGAGGAAGTGCCAGGGGCTAGGATACAGCTCAGCAGCACAAGTGCCTACCTGGCAAGCTCAAGGTCCTGAGTTCAATTTTTGATACCAGACCAAAAAAAGAAGAAAAAAAAAAAAAAGAAAAGAAAAGAAAAAGGAAAGAAGGGACAACCAACAGATCATGCTCAATGTGCTCAAACTCAGGAGTCTACTCAACTAAGGACAGATCACTCATGTGTAAATTTTTCTTTTTTAACCAAGGACCTACATACAGATAGAAGTCAAATATCTCCAGGTTTTCCAGATTATATGAGAATAACACCATTAAGGGAACACATACTAAGGATCCAGGGAAGAATTTAAGTTCAACAGGATCATGAGGATTTGATAGCAAAGGAGCCAAATACAATTCAAAAAGTTTTCTGCATATGTATCAATCAGAAGTTGGCATCCTGCCTCTAAAGTAGTAGAGAATTTACCTAGAAAACTTAAGGTTTTCCTTATGTTTTTATGTATGACTGCAATTAATCTGGCCAATGTTCTAAGGCTGATTTGCACAAATTTGTAGCATATTATAGCTATTAATGAGGTATTAATTTATTATTAGTGATTAGTTTATTAATCAGTTATTAGTTTATATATTAAAATACACACATGTATATTGTGTATTAATATTTTTACAATACGGCTTTATAAAAATTTGTGAAAAATCTAGAACTGCTCTAAAGACATCCCTAATTTAGATTATTTTAGCAATCATTCTGAGTCATGTAAAATCATAACCAAGGCCAGCCAAATAGCTCAGTGGATTAAAGCACCTGCAAGCAGATGCAGGAGCTGGGGGTTCAATCCCCAGGCCTGCCATGTTGGCCCCATCCTCAGGGCTTGCTGAGACAACAATTGAGACTGGGCGTGGTGGCACGTGCCTGTAATCCCAGCTCTTGGGAGACTGTAAACAGGTGGATCACTATGAGTCTGATCTAGTAGTGAGACCCTGAACACCCTGTTGACCTTTCCCTGAAAAAAAAAAAAATCTTAACCCCCAATTATTATAAGGATAGCTTTTTAGAAAAATTAACTAAGCTTTTATATTTGAGAATGGACCAAAAAGCTAAATTTGCTATCAAAACTTAGCTTACCATAACACAACATCATCATTACCTGGGCATACAATAAAATTTATAGTGTTGGTCTCACCTTTGGATAAAACTGCAAAGCTGGGCCTAGTTCTGAGTCCTCCTAACCAGAAAATAAAGTAGTAGCGTGTTCAAAGGGGTCCTATCATGACCCAGTTTGAAAGACGGCACTAAAGATACTGTTATTGTTATATGAAGATTCTGTATGAGAAAACTGAGTGAAATCCTTCAGTGAAGAAAGTCTTACAGAAGACAAAGGAGACAGTGCTCTGGAGTTTTCTGGGTCTAATTCAGTATTTCATGGTCAGTGGGATAGATGGGGACAGATTGAACCAAGGCACAGAGGTGACTGGAGCTAAGGCCTGTTGCCCTAGACTCTAGACATCTTTCCACTACACAAGATGCCTTTCCCAAAGAAGAAAATAACAGCACAGAAGGCATCTTCACAAGAATTCAAGTCAGAATGGTAAGTCACGAAGGGTCTCAGGAGGACTCAAGAAATCCACCCGAACTATCTTCTGGGTACAGTAGAAAAGGTTTGAATGGGGTTATATTATCCATTGATTCCTTCTACAACCTCTGAAACTGTAATGACTACAACTACGGCCCAAACCCTCAGTGTTATAAAGCTGGAGTGAGTGGACGCCATATCCTATGTACTGTCTTGGTGCCTCACGACATACTGTAGTCAACGTGCTGGAACCCCCCACCCCCCCACCCCCAGGCATTCACAGTTCTGAAACATGGTCAGCACTGAAGAATCTGAGAGGAAAACACCTGGAGAAGTGTCAAGTTTATTAGAGTGAGAGACTGTCCCCCTCACAGGGCCACCAAGAGACACAGACCTCAGAGATGCGTGCACTGAGCTCGCAGCAATAAACTGTGGAGCATTTCTACAGTTGTAAGACACCTCACAAGTCATCAGGATGACCTTGTCATCTGATGTCTTTATCCCCCTTGAACAGCTCCCTCCCATGGACTGAGGTCAGATTCTGTTGAACGTACGGCTATGACTAAACTTTGGCCAGCTTTGAATCTGTCCTCTGGTAGCAAAGGACCTGCATGCATTATTCTGTAGTGGAAGTAAAGTTCCCTGCCCCAGGCCCCACAGTTACTTTTCCTATGAAGAAGAAAAGATCCTAGAGTCCAGTGTAAAGACCCTCCACATTCCCCCACCAAGCCTGAAGCACCCAAAAGGAGCTCTAAGACGACAGCCTGAGTCAGCTGGCTTCGTCCTTGGGCTTTCAGAAGGCCTTGGTCCAGAGAGGCCTTTGCAGCAAGGTTCTGGGGCTAGCCGTCTCCAGAAGCAGCTTGTCTGTAAGCTCAGGAGAGTCCCAGGACAGTAGCTAGGCTTGCTGGTCTACCAGCTGGAGCCTGGCGGTCTTGACTCGATGGGCTTCCTTTAGGTTCCGTTTACGGGCCTCAGGGTTGGAAATGAACTCCACTTGTTGCAAAGGGAACCAGCCCCGCTCACCGTCTGAGAGTCTCACGCCCTCCAGCCAGCCTAGGGGTGGAGAGAGTACAGAAGAGTCACCTGGGAAAGGCTCAGGGCGAGTTCCCAGGCCCTCCATGCTGGAAGTGTTCCTGTACTCTAAGGCTGAGGGACCTGGGGAACCCCAGGAAGATAAGCCCAGCTCCCCCAGCTGCCCCTTCCTGAGCCTTGTCCACCATTATGAGTTCCACAGTATCCCCTCAAATATGTGTCCACATCCTCTTCCCTGGCCCCTAACAATGTAGTTTTATTTGGGAAAGGGGATATGATATCACATGTGAAATTTAAAAAGTTAAATTGAGGTCATATTAGAGTCAAGCAGCCAAAAATCCGATATCAATCCAATGATATCTAGCGCTCTTACAAAAAGAGAGAAATGTGGCCACAGAGGCAGGTGGGCCACAAGTGGACAGGAATTGGGATTACATTGCAACAAATCAAGGAGGACATGGGGCCACCAGACTGCAAAAGGTAAGAGAGGACCCTCCCTAGAGGCTCCAGAGGTCTGGCCTCACCAACACCTTGACTTTGGACTTCTTGCCTCCAGAACTACAAGAATAAATTTATGGTATTAGCCACCAAGTTGGTGGTAAGGTGTTAAAAGCACCTCTGGGAGACCAGTACATGCCTCTAGGTAGGCCTGCAATGCCGGGCTTGTGGGCTTGCGCTCTCACCATCGCTGCTCTGCTGCGTCACCATCACCACATCGGCCTTCTCCAGAGCCAGCTCGTCATTCTCTCGGGGCATGTAGGCGCGAAGGCACTGGACCTGGGGGGAGTCTGTGGAAGAGAAGGCGCACAGAGGTGAGGAGAGGGAGAAGCCCAGAGCCCGGACCGGGAACTCCACAGGCAGCTGGAGAGGCCCTGAGATACAGAGAAGTCCCAGGTGGGCTTTCAGAGAAGAGGAGAAAGCATGGACCAGGGGTCCACAGGGTTGATCGAAAAATAGCAACACCAGAATTCAAGTGGATCAAAAATTCAGCTTCTCTGGGGAAGATGACAAGAAATAAGCTGTGGCCACCATTAGGTATTCATTTTTCCAGACACCTGAGACAGCCAAAGGCCGATCTTCATGTGCCCTGATCCTTTCATCTTCTGGTAGATTTTGACTTTAAAAAAAATTTTTTTTTAAATCTTTCATTTATTTGTTATAGGATCTTGCTACACAGCTTGGACTCATAGTGATCCTCCTTTCTCAGCCTCCCCAGCGCCGGGATTACAGGGATATGCCACCACACCAGGTTTCCAAAGCTGGCGCAGAGTGCTGGGTGTTCTGGGGATCGAACCCAGGTCCTTGCGCTTGGAAGGCAGGCACTTAAGACTACCGAGCTATCTCCCCAGCCCTGGAGTTTGGCTTCTTAAAACCTACCTTCTAGTTTCCTATTATCCCTGCTTTACTTATTCATTTACTTGCAGCTCAGGTTCCTTATGTAAGAGAAATCATGCTTCCCTAACTTTCTCATTTCAGCTTACATTCTTGCTATGTGTGTAAACGAAGCATGCTTATTTCACTGAAGTTACTGTGTTGTGACCACTAAAAATTTTTGAAAAAAAAAAATAAAGAAAATAAAGAAAACTGTAGATAAGAAACCCTGTAACCCTCATCTATTTCACGCCTGGGCTTTGCTTCTCCAACCTTCTTCCTTACAGGGCCAGAGGGAAGGTAGAGATAGTCAAGAATTCCAGGGCTACCTAAGCAAAGGACCCACCTACCGCCTGCAGCTGCAGGGTCCTTATCTGAAACTGATTAACATAACCAGTGAGATAAAGTTGGCCAGAATGACTGATGGCCATTCTGGATTTCTGTTTTGTACTTTTGTGAACCAGGCAAAATCTCCATAGATTGGAAGCTCCAGAGAGCAAAATCCAGAGTACTTCTGGACAACGCATACTGCATCTTACCCAAGTTCACTGTTGCACTGTTGCAATTTACCCTACTGCTCCATTTCTCTTGGAGAACCAAGAGGAACCACATTGTTAGTCCTGCTTCTCTCCTAGAGTTCGTCCCCCTCTGTCCTTCATAAGGTCACGGGCAGCAGTGAGCTCCTCGCATGCTCCTTCCCACCAGGGAAGTGAAGCCAACAAGGAGAACACAGTGATTAAATTCACAGAAATGAGCTATAGTTTGCTCCTCTGCAGCCTTTTTTTGGGGGGGAACCAGGGATTGAACTCAGGCCCTTGCACTTGCCAGGGAAGCGCTTATTCCACTGAGCCATCTTCCCGGTCCCCCTCCTCAGCCCTTTACCAAGTTTGCTCAAACCCAGTTATTCTTTTCAGCCACTTATATTTTCTCTCTTGGAGGAAGACAAGGAGTGAAGGGAAAGCCAAAATTCCAACTCTGAATGAAAGCAAGCAGATTTTCAAGAACGTGAGCCTGCGGCTACCCCCAGATGCTTAGAATACAACCCCTCAGGTGCTACGGGAGGGGTGTCGAAAGGGGTGTCCCCAGGCCAAATCTGTGCCCCAGTCTTCTGGGAGCTCCTACTGTAGGCTGTCTCCCTCCACTTCCCTAACACCTTCAACAGTACTGCAGGACAGGCCTCAGGGACAAATACTTCAGAAAGAGAAAACTATCGCCTAAGGCAGGCCACGGCTGTGGGAAAAGGTCTGTGACAGAGAGCAGTTTTAGGCAGGTACATCGCAGGTGTTAAAGACGCCTGAGGAACTGCAATAACTAGAAACTCAGGGTTGCCACTCAGTCCCCGAAGACCTGGCATCCACAGGAAGCCTCTGAATCGGCTCGGTTTTTTTTTTTTTTTTTTTTTTTTTGCCACCTTTTCAGACTCTCACTCACCATAACACTCCAGCAGGTCCAACTCCTCTCTTGGCATGGACAAGGCTGAGATCCATCGAAGCTTTTCACTTCTGAGAAAACACGGGTTACAGGTTTCATTACTACCTGAGATCGCAAGATAAAGGGCCGAGGTTGGGAAAGGCGGATGGATCTGGGAAGGACTTGCTAGTTCAGCAACCTGTGTAACCCCACGTCAAAGGAATCCTGTTTGCTTGGATATATTTTTTTTTCTTTTGTATTTCAGGGAAGGGTCTACAGAGTGTTCAGGATCTCATTACAACATCAGACTTATAGTGATCCACCTGTTTATAGCCTCCCAAGAGCTGGGATTACTGGAGCGCACCACACCCAGTCTCAATCTCCGTTTGAGCGTGCCCAGGGGGTGGGGCTGGCATGGCTGGCCAGGGGATCAAACCCTCGGCCCCTGTGCCTGCTTGCAGGTGCTTTAATCCACTGAGCTATTATAGTATTGAATAAGGTTGACATTGATAGGTTCTAGAAGCAGCAGCAATGACAGCGGAAATGGCAGCGCTGCAGAGAAGCAGAAGTAGGGGGAGGGAAAGTCTTTAACTCCAAACACATGGAGAGGACCAAGGGCAGGGAGCTGGGCAGATCCTCTGACCTGAGACAGCGAGCTTGAGACTTTATGGGATTTGCGGGGGGTGGAGCTTGAGAGGCAGGTTTAGTGACGTATAAGGAGCTGATTGGAGGCTCTCTTGTGTGGGCGGGAAAGGTCAAAGGAAGTTGTATATAGGGCTGGAGTGGGGGAGGAGGAGGAGGAAGTGGTCAAGACTAGCTGTTGTTTTAAGGGCTTCAGCCATATTAGATGACCACCATAATAATTCAGCAATTCATACTAGGGCCAGAACCTATCAGATGTGTCTTGTGGTATTCTGTTTTCCCCGACTTTGAATGACTTCTAATATTTTCCAAGGGTGGCCATAAAGTCAGTCATCCTCATGTAGATTTTCAATTATGTGACCAAAATGTTCATCGAAGCCTAGATTTCCCCCATCACTTTGCATAACTGCTGACACTCCTTCCTACCTCCCTTGCATCAAATATTTCAAAGATGAAAATTATTCTGGGACGATACAGAAACAGATCTACTCCTTTTGCTGTTGTAGCCCACTGTCATCCTAGTGTATAATTTTGTAATAATTTTAACGCTTTTCTTTGCCTCTGTTTCCATATGTGGCTTGGTAATCAAACCTGGTAACAGAACTTTTACTGTTTTCAGAAGATGTTGTCCCAAACCCTAAATGAACAGCATAAATCTATACCCAATTATTTGGCTCACTTGATACAAGGCCCCTGCACCAGCTTCTGTGTTCTATAAATACAGATGGGTAGGGATAACAGACCCCTGCCTGTAATCCCCTAAGGGAAAGTATCTCTACAGCACAGGAACCTCAGACTCTTACTGTTTTTTTTTTTTTTTTTTTTTTTGTTTTGGTTTGGTTTTGGCGGAACTGGGGATTGAACTCAGGCCCTTGAGCTTGCCAGGGAAGTGCTTATTCTACTGAGCCATCTCCCCTGCCCCCACTCTTAGACTCTTAATGACAGATTCTTCTCCTAACTTCCAATAACAACAATAATAGTAGTGTTGTAGCTGTTCTTTGCTGTAGGCATTGTACACTACATTTCATAGGTATTATCTCAGAAATGAATGTGATATGAAAATAATTAGTTTACTTTTTTTTCTTTAATGTATTTGGTGCAGGGTCTCACTACACAACTTGGACTCGTAGTGATCTTCCTGTTTTCAGCGCTGGGATTACAGGCCTGTCACCTCTCCTGGGCTTTGTGGCTGGCTCAGCGCACTTGGGGGCGGGGCCGTGCCCTGGAGAGAACCCCAGTCCTTGTGCTTGCCTAAGCAGGTGCTATTATTATTGTTAAGAAGATGAGCAAATCAGATCTGTCAACATGATGGATTTTTGCTCCATAGACCACTGACCAGGCAGGAAAGCAAAGGCAAAAGTGGGCATCTTGCTCAGGCCTGTGCCTATCAGCAGTGGGTGCTGAGGATGCCCATTCCACTCCAGCCTGTCGCCTTGCTGTGTCCCACCACACAGACCTTGTGATCTGCAGGGAAAGGGGGCCACAGAGCTGAGCCCCCTCCCATCTGCGATGCCCCACTTCCTTCCCAGGCTAGTCACTCCCAGCCCCCCCGAGATCCCCGTCTCACTGAGTGTCCGTGCGGAAGAGGAATTCGGCCGGGGTGCTCTCCGTGTTGTGCCGCAGGAAGAGGCGAAAGACATTCTTGTGGGGCCCATGGAGCTTCATCTCACACTTTTCCCCTCGGATGGAGGAGAAGGGCGCATGGTCAAACACCAGGAAGCGGCTTCCCCTGCAGAATACAAGTCTTTTCACGCCGAACCTACACTGCCATCCTCCACCCAGCCTCCTGTTCTCGAATTCAAACTCTGAGCCCTTAGCCTGCAAACTCCCATAAAAACCACAAGATGGTCCTAACTTGCTCCAGGAGGGCAGCTTCAGAGTCCATCTGTCACCAGTGTGACCAACCACCTGTGCATCGCACTAGACGCTTCACCATTTTAATGAATCGAACAGACAAAACCAATATAAATTTTCTAAAGCCCCAAGGACCAGGTTCTAATTTGTTTCTAGCAAAGATCTGAAATGAGCCAAATATCTTAGGAACTAGTAGGCTGTGCCCACGCCACAAATAGGCTGACTTGGGAATGTGACAAGCTAATCTGAGGCGGATTACCCTAGGTGTATAACATAATGCAGGCCCCATCATATAATCTCATGACATAGGCTGGGAGAATCTCTGTTTTTTGCCTTGGGCTTTTTCTGCCTTCTCTTCTCCTTGCCGTGACCAAGATCCCATGGCTTGAGCCATCTAGAAGAGGTTCCTCTAAGAACGAGACCTCTTTGTCCTTTCTAGGCCACCTCCTCTTTCTCCTCATCCACCTCTTGGTCCCTGGCCTCCCCGTCCCATTCAGCCACTCACTCTCGGGGCCGCGACAGCAGCAGACAGTCATTGAAGAGATGCAGGTGGACCGGCCGCGTGTTCAGTTTCCTTCGCAGCCCTGGAGAGACACTGAACTCGAGGGCTGTCAGCTCTCCACTCTTCACTAACCATCGAGACTGAGAAATGAGTGGGAATATCTGCAAGGGTAGGGGGAGAAGGCCACGTCACAGAAAGAGACGAACAAGTAGGAGCTTCATGCCCTTCTCATTCATCACCTCTACGTTTCTCCGTCTTACGCAAAGGCCCCCGCTTGCATTCCACTGCTCCCTGCACCCTCTTCCTACACTGCACCCCAGTTCACAGCTCCCTCCACACAATCAGGCAAACGGAAGGAGCACAGGGTCCAGGCAGGACAGCAACCACATGAGAAAGCCGGAAGCCTGACCTGAAGCGGAGCTGGAAGAGTCCGAGAGGAGCAAGCGGGAAACAGCAGGATGTGTCTTAGGAGTGAAAAGTTAAGGGGAGGGTCTGCCATCTGCTGCCTCCTTGATCAGAACCAGAAACAGGAAAGGAAGAGTCAGAACATGCCGGGCTGGCAATGAGAACCAAGTGGGGCTTGCTTGGAGCTGGAATTCAGGCAAAGAGGAGGGTATTGGACTCTGACTTGTGTCCTAGGCATGGGATTTCTCTTCTCTTCTTGGAAGGGAAAGATGATATCTGTTCTGAGTTGGGAATCTGAACATGAAATATATACTTCTTTGGGGTGAGAAAGTACTTGGTGATTGAGTCCATGTTGCTTTGGACAGAGTAGGAGATCTGATGAATTAGAAAAAGGTTCTTAGAAAGACTTTGTACTAAAGAATTTTTCCTCACCTGTCCATTTCTCAAATGCATCTCATCTTTTTCACTATTCCTTTTAAAATTTTTCCTTATTGTTCCAGAGATTATATATATAGAAATGTACAGTTCTCCTTCACTCAACAACATGTCTTGAAGACTAAAGAGAGCATTTAAGTTTGCACAGCCCAGAGGTACAGCAGAGGAAAGGCAGGAAGGCTGGCAGGAAGCTGGGACAGCAGGAGCAGGGAGGCTCTGAGCTAGAGGGCCGCCTGTAGGGTAGGCACCCTAGAGAGATCCACGGCAGAGTGCAGAGCGAGGAACTCACTCACTTTGCACTCAAACTCAATCTTCTGGCTCAGGTAGATCAGCTCCTCCGTCCGCCGCATTCTCTGGACATTGTTATTGCAGTCTCGGATCAGCTGAGGGGTGGGCAGGGTGAGGGAAGGGTACATGTTAGAGGATTTGGCCCTCTGCGGCCCCTGCAGACAACACGGAAGCCGGGGTGACAGCCTCAGCCTTTCTATCACAGTGAAGGTGGAATCCAGATTAAGATCTAGTACTCCGGGATACTTGGGATGACCTGGTAGGACACTTCTGGGGTAGAAGACAGTGGTAGTGAGGTACATGGAGAAGAGGCCTGGGTTGCACATGCCTGGATCAGTGGACACTGGGAACCAGCCGAGCTCTCCCAAGCTCCCAGGAGCTGGGGGCCTGTGAGGGGCACTGAGGGTCAGTATGGGGAGCTGCCTACCTCCTCCAGCACATGGTGGGCCTTCGTGGCTTCTGCTTCCTCTGCAGAGCCAGGCTGTGTCCGCTTCAGAATGTTCTAAAGGATACACAGTGGGCAGGAGCCAGATGGGAGACAGGAATAGAAAAACGAGAAGACAAGATCAGGAGTTTGTTCACGGAGAAGCCCAGAGCAAAGATCTCAGCAACAAATAGTTCTTTCTTTTTTAAAATATATTAAGTACAGGGTCTACAGGGTCTCACTACACAGATCAGACTAGTAGTGAGTCTCCTGTTTTCAGCCTCCCAAGCACTGGGATTACAGGCATGCGCTACCACGCCCAGTCTGAGTCGCAGGCTCAGTGCGCCAGCAAGGCAAGCTGGGGATTGAACCCCAGTCGCTTTAGTCTGCTGAGCTATCTGGCCAGCCCTCAGTAGCAAATATTTCTAAGAAGGGTTTGGACAGTGCGGAGACCATTCACATCCCCCACAGGCCGAAGGATGGACAATATATCAGCTGGAATCCTCCCGAAGATCGTCCCTTTAGTCCAGGGGGACATGAAGGAAGCAGCTCCTGTACCTGGAGCAGAAGCTTGAGCCGTGTGATACGCTGGAAGGGCAGAATCAGAAAGGACTTGAGCGACAGGCGCTGGCAGATGGGGTCACTTTCCAGCTTCTCTAAGACCTCCCGGAAACTGCTGTTGCTGGTTCTGCATGGGCATTGCCCCAGGGGTGAGGAGAGACACAAGGAGTTACGAGGACTCAGAGCGGCCAGGGGAGTGGCAAGGGTTGGGGAAAAGCTACGCTGAGAGCCAATGTACAGGAAGCTCAGATGTGACTGTTGACGGACTGTGGTCTGAAGGACAGGCTGGCACTTGGGACACAAGTGCTGGCACAAGAACATGGGCCCCTGGGCCAGCACAGTAGCTGGGGACTGGTGCAGGGTCACTGCAGGCCCTACAGGGGGACTGGATGGGGATGAGTCTCACAGCAGGCTCTGGAAGGTGCGTTCCTGATAGGTCTGGTTGGTGACGTAGGGCAGGTAGACCCGGCGGAAGTCTGCAGCGTGGTTCAGGACCACGTCACACACTTGGAAGGAGAAGATGTTGCTCTCGAAGTTTTCTTCTAGATCTGAAAGGAACCTGTGCAATATTTTAAAAAGTCTCATGAGGCTTCTGGAACCCAACTCAGTGGTTGGCTACCCCTGCTTTACCTTGAGCTTGTGACTTCCCTTCTTTGGTAACATCTATTGTTTCTGAGCTCTGTGCCCTTGCTGTGCACTAGAATTCTCTCCAAGGTTGTCACTGGCTTGCTCCTTATTTAATATTCTATTGATTGATTGATTGATTGAGGGACCAGGGATCAAACTCAGGACCCTGCGCTTGCCAGGCAAGCACTTATTCTACTGAGCTATCTCCCTGCCCCTTAATATTCTAATATTGTATTTCTTCATCTTCTTTTATCCTACTTTGGTTTTCCAATATTTATGTGATTTCTGCACCTCATCTCCAACGCTCTGGGTGCTCATAGTATATCTAAAACCTCAAGCCAGGAAGCATTTCCCACCAATTTATTTACCTATCAATGTATCTATCTACCCTCAACTCTCTTCTTTGTTTTTCCTCCCCTTGTAGCTACGGGGAATCATGGAAGTAGAGGAGACTTAATTTCCATTTGGAGATTACAGCAAAGGGGAGGTTTCTAAGAGGTAAAGAGACCAGAGAAAGGAGGTTTGGTGACTAACAGCAGTGAAGCTGGGTGAGGGGTGCTGGGAGGGAGGTGGTCTTACGTGGTGCTGACATCTCGCACGTCCTGCAAGCGAGAGAAGAGCCACTGGTACTCCTGGTTGGAGAGGGCAGCCCGGAGTGGGGCTGAAAGTTGGAAATGGTCCACAGCTATATGGAGGCTACGCAGGTAGGAGGCCTCTGACACGATCAGCTCAAACTTGGCCTAGGAAGCAGGAGAGGAGGAAGATTACTGGCTGCTCTGGGCCTCCCACTGAGTAAGGTTTTAGGGGCAGAAAACCTAGATTTTTTACAGCTCACCATCCCAATAAATACTATCTTCATCTGGAAAGAGAAGGGTATTTATGTATACAAGATTTAATCTACAGGTTGAAAAACATCTATAAGCTTCCAAAGATTTAAGAAAAATGTGCTTTTAAGAAACTTAAGCCATATACCATACAGATAGACAACTATATGAGATAATGGATAATTTGCTTCACCATAGTAACCTTTTTACTATCTTTGTATACCCCATAACACCACTATGTGTACCTTACATATACATAGAAACATTTATTTTACAGAAAGAAATACTAATGTTGGGGACATTGCTCATTCGTAGAGCTCTTACCTAGCAAGTATGAAGCACTGTACCTCTACCACCAGAAAAACAAACAAAATAACCACCCGGAGACAAAAATAGAGACCTAAATAAACTTAGCAGTCTTGGAACCAAGTATATAAAAACAGTACCAAGAGTTGAGGCTGGAAACGCAGAACAGGGCCTAGAGGATTTTGTGAGCAATGTATACAAGACAGCTTGGTCTCGAGACCACTGCAGAATGTGTGAAAATCGTTCTGAAAGGGCATAACTTGATCAGATTTTTCTATAAGGATAATTCTGAGTGAGAGAACCTTGTTGAGAAATGGGACAATAATTTCAGATAAGAGACCAAGGATGGATCAGTTATGCGGATGGAGAAATTATTAAGAGGGAGATTCAGAAGCGCTTGGCTATTTACTCCAAATGGGGCCTGAACAGGGAGGGAGAGTCAAAGGCAATACCTTGACTTTTGATTTGAATAATGGATGAAAGCTGGGGTTGTTAACTGAACCAAAGTGCTTTCAAAGAGGAACCGATTCGGCGGATGAAGTTAATGAGTTCAGTCCGGGGCCCGAGAAGAAATGGACCGTAAGTGTGTTACTGAAGTCAAAATGGCACAGTTGTGGAAGGACACCCAGCCCTTAACAATTTATTCAGAGGGTCCAGCAGGGGGTGCAATGCCTCAGGGCCACGTCTAAGGGTTCCACATGCTTTTAAGACACATCGTTGGACAAAAAACAGAGCGAACAGGGATGGCGGGGATCCCATGCATAGCCAATGACCCAGCCTGATGGGTCAACCCATCAGGCCCAACCTCAAGTGGGACGGTAGTTTCTTCTCATCCTGCCACTGTTCACGAATAACATGGCATTGGCTGTTTCACTGAACCTCTCCGACCCTCAGCTTCCCTACCTTTTCATGCGAGGCTATTACCTCCACATCGGGAGGCTCAAAAGACACAGAATCGCTGAAATTCCTGTGTAGACCCCACAGGTGCTAGTTTATGAAATGCAGATGTGTAGGAGGAGCAGGTGCAGCGGATTCTCCCATCATCAGTGTGAGACTAGGGCCGGGACAGGACCTCCTCGTATGCTGCAGTTGGAGAGTGAGGGAGCTACAATTCATGCGACACCCCCCCCACACTGGACGACCCACAACTATAGGAGGATTGGTGACTTTCCTAAAGATCTTCCAGGTACTAGAAGCTGCAGTCAGAACAAAGCCCTCAAGTCTGAGCCTTGGAAAGCCTAAAACGTACATGTTGTGTCTCTCTGAAGTAGCAGTTATCCCCAAGTCTTTATGGCTGAAATTTTTTATACCTTCCTGCTGTGAAAGGGGAAAAAACATGATGCTAATATTTAGCAAGCTATGACAGATACTTTGTTAAACTACACATGTGTGACTTCATTAAAACTACATACTGGGGCTGGGGAGATAGCTTGGTGGTCTAAGCGCCTGCCTGCCAAGTGCAAGGACCTGGGTTCAACCCCGGGTACCTCATACTGTGCCAGCCCCAGAACTCTGGGTGTGCAGTGCTAGTCAATGAAACTGGGTGTGGTGGAGCATGCCTGTAATCCCAGCGCTGGGGAGGCTGAGACAGGAGGATCATTGGAGTCTGAGCGGCATAGAAAGATTCTAAAAGATTAAAAGACAAAACAAAAACTATGTACTAACCCTGAAAGGTAAGTGTTTTTATATTTAACTTGTAGGTAAGGAAACAAAAATTTAGTGAAGTTACAACATGCCTAAGATTCTACAGCTAGTAAATGGTGAAGCCACGACTCAAGAACCCCATCTGCATCACTCAAAGTTAAAATACTGAACATTTTCTACCTGACTACTAATGACTGGGCAGCTCTCTAATCTCTCAGTAAATCTCTGTTTGACAAATTGCTTTGAAAGATCAAGCAATTTGGCTCAAGTGAATCAGCAAATACTAAAATGGGCTTCTCATCTCAGTCATTTAAATATTATTCTAGACTCCTGGCCACTGTTGTCTTCCAGGGAAGAAAGGTTCCACCCCAAACTCCAGACAGACTTGAGAGTTACAGAAGATCTCCATGGAAATCTTATTAATGGTAATACCTTGAAACCAGACCAACAGCTTCTACTATACTCTTCCTCTTGGAGACAATGACAGAGGAGGGACATTCTAAATGCTCGGAGAAATGAATGGAGCACAGGACAACCTCCCAGCACCCTTTTGAGGGACTCAACCAACAGCCCTTGCCTGTGTTTCAGCTAAAGAGTAAAACTTTAACAAAGTCTAGAGGGAAATTTTAGTCTACCCCGAGGCAGCATGGCTGAACTTCATCACACCTTCTTCCCAGCAAACTGAGAG